AGAGAGAGAGAGAGAGATGGGGGGAGGGGGAATGAGAGGCAGAGAGAGGCAGAGAGAGAGTGAGAGAAAGACAGAGAGAGAGTGAGAGAGAGACAGAGAGAGAGACAGAGAGAGAGAGACAGAGAGAGAGAGAGACTGGGACACCTGCACTTTAGAAACAGTAGAATAATGCTAGTTCACTCATCCTGCAGTAAATTTCTCTAGTCCTTCAACATGTAGAAACATTCAAAGATCCACCGGGGTTTTGGTGCATGAACTGTTCACCCTACCATCTCGCAAGCATCATTTGTGTTTGTAGCAAAAATCCCCCTCCATGACTTACAAAAATGTTAATTTACTGAAACTGTCTTCCATATGCAAAAGAAAATAAAAACAATCAACATAACCAAAGAACAATTTTGCACCACCAGAACTGACAAGCAATATGACTTAAAACAAACAGTATGTGTATTATGAGTGTTTCAAACCATCAAAGCCTTCTGCCACAAGACGGATAGAAAGCAGTATAAGGCAAGTCTACATAATATAATGAGTTGTTTGTAAATCGAATTAACATCTCTAAAATAATTATTGCAAATTAAATTCACATCACAAAGTTAATGTAAATCAAATTTACATCACTAACAGTATTGCAAATTGAGTTTTCATCTTTAACTTTTTGGCAAATCAAATCTACATCCTTAAAATTATTGCAAACCAAATTTACATCTCTAACATTCTTGCAATTCAAATTTACATCTCTAATACTATTAATAGTTTTATTGCAAAGTGAATTCATATGAAAGTTTTTTGAAGAAGAAGATCTTTTAAGTTGAACAAAGGGATGTACCCAGCAGCAATTTGTCGGTCATGGTTTGAACAGAAGCATTCAATAATAATAAGAAACATGGAGAATTTGTATTTCAAAAAAACAAAAGGCGAAAAAAAACTTTTCCATTTTGCATGACACTTAGAAGAGGTATTTAAGCAGTTGGTTTTCCATTGAAAATACAACGGAAAAAGTGTAGAGAACAGTGCACATCTTGGAAAGACAAGCTTGATATATTGCAGTTTATAAGTAGTCTGACGTCTAGATATGCTGCTGGCAATTACAGCACAAGAACGTTATCGCCAATTGTAACAGATCAGTGACTGCATTGTGTACCCAGGGGGCTCTTGAAGTTAAGGTGTTGGCCTCTCATTCAAAGGTCCCGGGTTCGAATCCGGGTAGCGACAGAACAATTTTCTTCTAAAAAATAGTCTCCTTTCACCTCCTTTCCTGTTCTCTAGCAAAATTCTGTTGTCTGCTTTTGTCTCCTCTTTCAGCCCCCCACTCCCTCATGTCCTTTGCCCCCTCCTCTAGGCTCTTTACTTTTTCTGCAGCCTTTCTCCTTGGCTCCTTCTTACTGCTGTCTTTCAGGCACACCCCTGATCTTCTGGTAGGAAAGATCTACACCTAGCCTTCTTGGACAAGGGCGAAAAGTCTCAAAGGGCTCGTGTGCAAGTTGAGCATGTTAAAGATCCCTGGGTGGTCTAAAATCGATAAGAGTAGGCTTCAGCCGCCACGCGGGCAAAATTCAAAATTTCCTACCAACTGAAAAAGTTTAATGTGTCCCGTGTGCTCATATGACCGTATGCAGTTGCGAGCGCCGTAAAACACTAACAAAAAAAAACAAAAAAAAACCCCCCAGTATACACAGCTGTTTATATAAGTCTGAACAGTTAAATATGCTGCTGCTTTGTCCTGGAATACATAATAAGTCACGATGTGGTGGAATCAGGCGCACGTTAATTTTTCGGCACATGGAGTAGTTATTCATACCATCTTAACCCCTTCAATGCTGAAAAATTTCCATCCCCATCTGTACCTACAAGATTAAATGTTAATTCAAGGATTATTTAAACACAGAGAATGGTTTCAGAAAAAGCAAAATCACAAGCTGTAACTAAAACAACAAAAACTTTTGTCAACCAGATGAAACAATATGAGTGGAGAATACAAGTCAGAACATACGTCTACCCAGCAGTGAAGAGGTTAAAGCTTGTTCATTTGTCTAGCTTTAAGTGAAAAAATTGCCCATCTGTCTTCGATAGAATTCGAGATATTTGCGATTGAAGGAGGTGGGGGTTGCCTGGTTTCAGAGGTAAAATTATAGAGAAAATGGCTGCCAAAGTTTGGTGACTTCCAAAGCTTTAGAGTCTTAGGAAACTGTAAATTTACATTTTCTCCGCCTTTAATCAAAGTTTTCAGTAAAATCCACACAACAATATATTTTTTAATGGATGTAAAAGAAGTTGAGACCAAAAATTATAAATTAAAAGAAAATGTCCAAACTGGAAGAAAAATGTGAGGCGGCGTGATGGAATCAGGCTCTCATCAGTTTTTGGTCATGTAGAGTTATTGGTATCATCTTAAAGCTTGTTCACTTGTCTTTATTTGGATGTAAAAAAAAATCAATTTATCTTGAATACAAGTCGAGATATTTGCGAAAGAACGGGGTGGGGGTCACTTGTTTTCAGAGGTAAAATTAGTGAGAAATTGGCGCCAAAGATTAGTTATTTCCAGAGTCCATAGTAACTGAAAATTTACATTTTTTGTTCCTTTAATCAACATTTTTCAGAAAAATCCACATAGAAATGGGTTCTTTAATGAGCATGAAAGGTGTTGAGCCAAAAAAAAAAAATTTGATAAAAATTCACAAACCTGCAGAAAAATGCAAGTTCCTCCACTTTGATTATTTTGACGAGAGCCTGATTCCACCACGCTGCCTCACAAATGACGTTTTCTTTGATATCATTCTTTTGACAAGTGGCTGAGTTCCCCCCCCCCCCCCCCCAGGCCTCACATTTAAGCCTACAATCAGCTAATGTCCAGGGCACACTTCCAATCAACAATTCATTCGAATTGAGAGGGGAACCAGTCAGATTATCCTCTATCAAAGGGCAAACGCTACCATGTTGGCATGAAATGATCGGATCAGCTTTTTTATTTTATCTACATCAACAACTTTGCACTCAGTAACTTTATTGCAGGTAAACTTGGTCATGGACGCTTCGCTAAGAATGACAAAAGTTAAAGAAAATTAAGCCAACAGTCCCAAAAAGGTATCACAATCTGATGTTGAAAATAGTGAGAGAATGAAAGAACTCCAAAACTCGCAGGCACAAAAGTTGAATATCAGGTCATCAAAGTACAAGTTGGAGTCACAAAGCATGATACGATCACATGATTATAAAATATTGCATAAAATTAAAAAAGGAATTTGTATAACAAATTATTTTCCGAGTTGCATAATCTATAAAAAAGAATTGTGCAGATGCATAAAAATGCACATACATCCATAACAGTAAAATACACTTACAAAATTCTGTACAAAAAACAGAGAGTTCATAAATATTACAATAAACAACCTGATAATTGCATTCACTGAGGTTAATTGCATAATTAATAAATGCTTAGATATGCACATATTATAATAGTAAAAAAACATAATGCACATAATAGTAAAAAAACATATCACAGAAAAATAAGGGAGTGACTAAGAGTCTTAGTAGCATCGTATCAAGCTCAAGAGAAAGCTTGAACAATTTAAGATAAAAATACTTAATTAAATAAAGTAAAGAAACAAATTGTCAGTGTTATTCCACAACCACCGTAATCAATTCCAGGAGGTTTCCAGATACAGTTGTTGTTCGAATAAAGATGTCAAGGGGTAACTTACAGTATGGTCTTTGTATTATTTCCTTCCTAGTCTTTAGTTTTGATCTTTGTATCATTTCCTTCCTAGTCTTTAACTGAAAAAATCAAGTGCTCAAGTCATGGTTCTAATTTGGGTGCCATCTTTTTCTATGATTTCTTTCAAAACTTCACAAACATGACTTAGGCACTTGTGGTACAACACTGACAAAATGGAATTATGGACGTAATCTTTAAGGTCTTGTAAATGGTAAATATGTTCATCTCCATGACTTACAAGATAAAATGTCACAAAATACAAACTATGTCAGAGTAATTTTAAGGTGACTTTGAAAACATAGATGACAGAGCAGTGACAAAACAAAACAAAAACAACAACAGGAAATGGTATGAGTTTGGTAATACCCACCCACTGCACACTGCCCACTGAAATCATTTACACCGAGTTGGGGCCAGCCAGGTTTTCCTTCCTGGAGGGACAAAGTTTCCATATTGGCCTAGGTTCAGTTCAACCAGCAGCCTTAAAAACCATATGTGAGGCAGCGTGGTGGATTCAGGCTCTCGTCAATTTTTGGGCATTTAGAGTTATTGGTATCATCTTAAAGCTTGTTCACTAGTCCTTATTTGGATGAAAAAAATATACATTTATCTTGAATACAAGTCGAGATACTTGAAAAAGAAGGAGGTGGGGGTCACTTGTTGTCAGAGGTAAAATTTGTGAGAAAATGGCCACCAAAGATTAGTTATTACCTTAGCTTAAGAGTTCGTGGTAACTGAAAATTTACATTTTGTGTGCCTTTAATCAACGTTTTTCAGAAAAATCCACACAGAAAAGAGTTCTTTAATGGGCATGAAAGGTGTTGAGCCAAAAAAACAAAAATTTGATAAAAATTCACAAACCTGCGGAAAAATGCAAGTTTTTCACTTTGATTATTTTGACGAGAGCCTGATTCCACCACGCTGCCTCACATATATGTTTGACATTGAAAGTCAAAGGTGAACTTAGTTGAATCCAGTCCATCTATAAAGGAAAAAACTGACTGGTCCAGAGTCAGCGCAATGAATCCGACTGGCGATGTGTACTGGGTAGAACCAAACTGATTACACAGTGCAGCCTTTGCATAATATTATACGAACAGTAGGAAAAGGAAACTCCCGCCTGAAAAATTGTAACAGTTGATTCAACAAAATTTGTGGAGAGCAATGTAATTTTCACAGAAGAGAATGCTGATGTTGGCTTATGCACAATCAATACTTCGTTAACTGAGTTCACTCGAACTTTCAATGATTTGACTTGCAGGTATTATTTTTCAACATGTTGAAACAGCGCTAACTTCATAATACTAATTCAACCACAAACTATTCTACAATGCCATTACTGAAAACAACAAAAATAAGCTAACACCTAACACCAAAAAACAACAACCCAAAACAAACAAAATAACAAAAAACCCCAGAAAAAATCATATCTCACTAATTAAATGTTTGACACTCCAGAAAAGGAGACAGACCGAAACAAAAAGAAACTTTTGCTTTGAACTTTTAAAGCACATTTTTCAGTCTACATTATAAAGTTCTAAGTCTGGGCACAAAAATATATCTCTTCTTAAGGAGAAACTGGGATCATACTACGCGCCAGAGCATAAAAGCTATGGGCTTGACGAGGAGCTGAAAAATCACACTCGGTGCTGGGGAGAAGAAGCTCAACAAGTTACAGATAATTTGTTAGTTGTCGAACATCTATTTGAAAAAAGTTAAAATTTTGAAATCTTGGAAAGCTTCTATATTTTCTCATGAATTCTTTGATATGGTTTGGTACGGGTTTTGTGGCCCTATCAACACTAGGGTTATATATATCTATGTATATCTCCATATTGTAATATAGTGAATCAACCTAAAAGTTTATCTCCAATAAGATGAGAGTCAAGTTGGTGGACAGCCTTGAAAACTCCCATGTAAGTTTAAGAAAGTCTCTTTGTGATTTGAACGAGGGCCATATGCATCAGAGACCAGCATGTAACCAACTTCGCTAACGGAGAGCCCATAAATGTTTGGTTCTCGAGCCATTTCCACTGAACAAAAAATATAAATGTGGTAAAATAAAATTTCTCTTTTAATTTTATTATAATAGAGAAAAAAAACATCTTTTCCTTATTATTGTTCTCATGTGTAACTAATGCTGCCAATGATGCAGTTTGTTAATTTCATATTTAATTCTATACAAACTTAAGTTCTAAATAGCCTCCAAGGATTGAAATCCTGTGATGTGAGGATGTAAACAGACTAAGCTAGTTTTGTGTTCTGAGCACAGATGTAACAGCAACTAAAGCAAAAGAACAACAGCAACAACAGCAACAACAGCAACAATAACAACAACAAGCGACGTTTGACAAGAATCATCAACTGTCTTCTGGGACTTCACAGTTGTTGTTTTTTTTCTAGGCGCCTTGACGGATTATATCAACAACAGGTATTTTTACATTCTTGCACAAAAACTCAGTATTCAGAAGGACTGTAATGTTCAACATGGACAAAAACCCCCCATTAATAACTATCTCACTCTTTTACTGAGAAAATCCACAAATCTTCGGTAATATACATCCGGATTTTTTGTAGAATGGTCTCCGCATCCATACTTGATCATTTTCCAATACTGTGCAGATTTCTGTCTCCAGTCAAAGCGAGTGAGAAAGTCTACGATGCCGACGAAGTACCTGTGTTCGGGTCCCTCTATGATGTGAAGTCCATTGGAACACTTGGGCAACAGTCTCCGCCGCTCTTCCTCAAACTTCTCCACGCCGTCAAGGAGACTCCGAGGAAACATAATCCCAGCCTTGACTTGAGGAATAATGACGCTGGAGGAAACCACGTCCTCGCTGACCACCCCAGGAAGCTCCGCAGTAGGCGATGTCTCGGGTCTCCGCTCAAGACTCGAGGATGAGACAAAGATTGCGCTGCCGTTGTTATTCGTTGACTGGTGGTTGTCGCCTGAACAGCCTGCGACGTTTTCATCCCAGGCACTCTGAATTCTGGGCAACCTCTCTGAATTTATTTCGGATTCAGCACCGAGAGAGGAGTCCAGATCAATAGCAGCTTCACTGGCACTAAAGTTCAGCTGATGCTGTCGAGCCATCCCTTTTCTTGTTGGGGATATTGAACTGACATGGAGGAGAAGAAGGGGAAAAAATGGAACAGTTCAATAAAGGCACGGGCAAACTTATGGCCCACGGGCCAGCGATTTCCCTCGCTCAACGTTATTCAAATGGCATCTTGAGGGCATTGACAAAGACCAAACCAAAAACTCTGCATTGAATATCCTAAAACCAGAAAAAAACCCACCTCACCAAGTAGCAATGACAAATCACAGTGTTTCCCATTACTTAATTTTTGTCATTTTTCAATCACTCAACCTTGAGGTCATGCGAATAATTTGCTTAAAGAAAAGTCCTCCTTTAAAAAAGAAAAGTCACCCTATTTTAGCATTCTTGTGTAATTGCTGATTTTAAAATAAAACCCACTAAAATCTTTTAAGATTTTCAAACGTGGCTAGAGATCACTCAGTTTCAAGTAACTCATCCTCATTAAACCACCAAAAAGCGACCATCAGATACACCATAAGCAGCAATTCTATACAATTGTAGTGGTCCATAATTTTTTTATTAGTAGTATACAACACCAAAACAATCGGTTGAGTACAACTTACTTTCCGATTCGATGGACTAGGGTGGACACGGACTCCGTCTGTTTCTCCGACAGATGGCGCTTCTGTCGACCCACGAGAAGGCTATAGTCCATGCAGTTGAGCGAGCGGAGAAACGCTGCATCAGCATTGATTTGTTTAATGAACCAATCACTTTGACTCCCTGGAATGAATAAACACTTCATCTTCAGACATCTCTGCGTTTAGACGGAAAAGTAAAAAGCAATGCAGGTGAAATGTCTCAAGTAGCAAATTAAATATTATGTGTAGAAATATATAGAATGAACATTGCGTTCAAATGAATGGGAACTAAGTATAAACATGTCCCAGAAACTTCTGCTCCAATGAAAGTGAACTAAGTGTGGGAATATACAGAATGAACATTGTGTTCAAATGAATGGGAACTAAGTATGGTAACATTTCAGATAATTTCGCCCAAATGAATGTGAAATAAGTATAAACATGTCCCAGAAACTTCTGCTCCAATGAAAGTGAATTAAGTGTGGGAATAACCCACACAGATCACTGGGAAACTGTTTTTTTTAGGTGTAATTCGTTCAATCATATTCAATTCTGAGTGTACTTGTCATTTTCCATATTGCCAAAAAATTATCTTTCATAAAGTAAAGGCTGTTTTTTTTGTGTGCAGTCAGCTGAACTTCCAAATAGTTAAGACATAGCTACAAATAAAAAAAAAATATAAAAAAATAACATTTTTCTGATTCCCATGGGGAAATTTTAGGTTGCAATGGCAAACATGGATACACAAATACATAATTATAAATATGTACAGACATAAACACAAACCCAAATACAAAATATTACACCATTACAGAACAATTTCCCAACCACAGCATGGCTGGTCGCCACTGTACAGCACTTTATTTATTTATTTTTTTAATTGAGCTAGAGTTGTCGTGTCTTGTACAAGGACACATCCCAGTGACCACCCGTTTGATCCCCGTGTCACCGACACTTGCTTGACATTATTTTTGAATCTGAACTCACTACTCACTTAGCCAAGACACGATCGAAAGCAATGCTCTTCTTATTAAAACTGTCCGCAAACAAGTTAAACAGACAACCCTCAAGGTGAAAATTTATCATCAATTTATGGATTTATGAAATGCTATCCATATTTTGAACATACTGAATTGTTTCCAGTGTTTATTTGGAAGTAATCTATCATATTCTCATTCACTGGCCGGTGACACCAGCCACTCGGCAAAAACAGGACCAGCACACTGGCCAGTGTCATCCGGGCTGCTCAAAGACAATGGCTTGACTGCGCTGTAAACGTATCTCATACGTCTTGATAATCTGCCCCCCCCTCCCAAATGTTGAGAAAACGTATCTCACTGGTCTGTGATGTGTAAACGTATCTCATACGTCTCCATATGCTACCGCCCAGTGATGTGTAAACGTATCTCATACGTCTCGATATGCTGCCGCCCAGTGCTGAGTAAATGTATCTCGTACCACGACTTTAAAAAACGCCGTATTAATGGCTTGCTCTATGCAGGTCTTGTCAACGGATGAATTTATTTCTTTATTTCTCTTCCTATTTTTAGTTTTACCTATCTGTCTCTTATGATAAGTGAACAAACGTTGATTAAAGATTAGGAATGGTGATGTCTTGTACACAGTGGAATTTTCCTTCGCATGTGAGGTGCATAAGTGGTGAGCAGTGACGGGGTTAATGCGGTGTACTCATTTGGAACAACAGCTGAGGAGAAGTGTTTTATTCTCCACTTCATCTGACTGAAAAATAGAGAGAGGTGAAAACATCAAAAGTTCCTACCCCTAATCAAGTATGACATGAGAGAAGTGAACGCATCATGGAGCATAGAAAATCTCACTTACCAAGGTCGAGTTCTTCGTTGAAAAAGTTCTGATCTTTGAGGACAGTGATGATATGAGAACCAGGACGGTTTGGCTGAAAAAACCCAAAACCCAACCCATTAAGCAAGAGTGAGCTGAGAAAAGAGTGAAAAAACTCAATGTAAAATTTTTGAGAACACATAGACAAACACATTTCACTTAGTTTTTTTTCTTAATTTTAGAAAAAGTTTGATAGTATTTGATACTTGCAACACAATTAGGTCATATGAGTGCCGACGATTTGAAGTGATACTAGAGAGTGATATACAATAATTCAATAACAAAAATAATATGGAAAATACTACTACTACTATTATTAATAATAATTGCATTTATATAGCGCATAGCCACACTCAGAAACATTCTAGGCTTCTCGGGAAGCATAAAGTGCAAGCAGCTCATTAATAGCTCAAACACTTACAAACTGACAAGATCTTTCAGTCTATAGCAAGGTACTCATTCTCACCTGGGTGAAGTGGGGGAAAAATCCGGTTAAGTGTCTTCCCCAAGGATACAACATCGGGCCCCTGCCTGGATCAGAACCCATGACCTTTTGGTTATGAGCCCGACAGCTTAACCACTAGACCACCAACACCACACATACATAAACAAAAAAACAATACAAAAAACAATACAAAAAACAAGAATACAAAATAGATTCGAAAAGATATAGACAACAGGCAAATCACCTTCTGGTATCGCCCAGCAATGCAGCCCTTAACATCAAAACGATCCTCTATCCGATCTGACGGGTAGAATATACTCTGCATGACGAGGAAGAATCTCTTCTTCTTTCCCTTCAGTTTGATGGCGTAACAGCCGATGTATTTGACCAGCAACGAATGAGGATAGGAGATGAAATGCTGCATGTACTTGCTGTAGACAAAAAAAAAAGGAAGACAAACAGGTGAATAAAATAATGGGCCATTAAAGGAAAATTTAAACTGCAGTGACAAAAAATATGTGTCTTGACGTGGTGGAATCAGGTGCTCGTCAATTTTTGGGCAAGTGGAGTTATTGGTATCACCTTAAAGCTTGTTCATTTGCCTTTCTTTCAAAGAAAAAAATATTCATTTATCTTGAAAAGAAGTTGAGATATTTGCGACTGAAAGGGTGGGGCTTCACTTAGTTTCAAAGTAAGATTAGCGAGAAGACGGCCGCCAACTTCAATAGCTTGAGAGTCCTTGAAAACTGGACATGTACATACTTGGTGACTTAAATTAACATTTTTCAGTAAAATTCACATGGAAATGGGTTTTTATATGGACATAATAGGCGCTGAGCCAATAAACAAAAATTCGGTAAAAATTGCCAAAATGGCAGAAAAAAGCCTATTTCTTCGAACTTAGAAGTTTGACAAGCACCTGAGTTCCCCACATAAAGAATGGCTCTTTCACTGCTTAGAATTCTTTTCAGTATATCATCATCTCCGCATTACGTGTGTCACTGCAGTTTCACTTTTCACGGAATAATAATAATAATTACATTTTGAAATTCTAGTTAGTGCATACCCATGCTCTACAGCATGCTCCATACTCTATGCCCAGTGGTGGTGGGTAGTGATGGGCTCATGGGCTTGAGCACCTACCCCCTCCCCATCCACCACCCCCAACTCTATCCCAAAGTTAAGAAATAAGCAGTTGAACCAGTTATGACCGCACGCAATGAACACAGAGTGATCAACTTGGCGGCTTGCTTGCTTATCCAATCACTGTTGTCACCGCTTACAACTATAGTAACCCAGCAGCCAATCAAATGTCTTTAGGGCTCAGTGAAGATGAGCCCTTTTTCCACAGCCCGTCGTTAATGAAACGCTTCTTGTAAAAGGTAGAAGACTGTGAAAAAATAATACTGTACCGAGGGCTCACGCTCTCCTAGCCCTGACAATGGGGTGAAAGTTTACGACACACTTTCCCCCACTGACACAGATACCTGTGCGCTCATTGGTTCTTTGTTGGGTGCGTTCAACTTTCTCGACTACACGGCCTAATCCAGCGCATAGAAGTATTATGTTTGAAGTGCTGTGTGTGCATGTTTGTGTTTGTGCTGCTGAGATTTAACAGTTATAAATCAGGTCGAACTACTTTTAAGGTAACTTTTTCATTACATGAAAACTAATTAAAGGAAATTTGGAGGTGAATCGGCTTCATCCCCACCATCAACAAGAATTTAACTAAGAACAAAGAGATGGAAAACAAAGGCAACTCTTCTTGTTTGAATGGTTCTCAAACTGCGTGGCTCACCGTGAGTATAGAAAAATCATGACTGTTTAATTCTTATTGCTTGCTATTTGGTGGTAAAGAACTGGAAGCAACCTAAGCCCCACCCCAATTTTGGTCCACCCAGTGCCACTGTCTATGCACTTTATAACTGTTATTTCCCCAGAGCCATTACACACTCTAAAACTAAAACACTAACAAACTAACAAGATCTTTCGCTGTCTATGGCCGGTACCCATTCTTACCAGGGTCAAGTGAGGAACATTGTGAAAAGTGCCTCTCCCAAGGAAATGAACTTGGGCCCCCAACAAGATTCGAACCTACGACTTTACGGTTAAGCATCTGATGCCAAACTATTAGATCACTGACGCCACCAACTTTAGTTCCATCCTCACCTCTCATAAACACTTTTTAAAAATACATTGTTTGGTTTTTGCGATTGGATTCTACTCCCTTTTAAAAACTATGAAAACTGTGAACAGCAACTGTCCAAATATCTTTGGCAAGGAATTGAAACTGGTTTGCAACTTTAAGCCACTGTCTGAATGGCTGAGTCACTATAAGTTTTACTTTACTCAAATTCGTGAATAAACCAATGCCATAATAAAAAATCGCAAGCAAATACTCAGTTTCCTAAATAAATCTGTAATGTTGGTGGTTGACAGGTGCTCTGATGTGGTTTGCTCCTTCGTTCCTATCAAACATCTATCATCCTTATCTCCCTTCCTTCTTTTTCACAAAATCCCTCTTCCCTCTTCCCCTCGTCAGCCCCACCCCTCCCTCTCCCCTTCATCTGTCAATATACCTAGTACTTGAGCTGCCACATAAAAGCATGGGCCTAGTAACACCTCTAATCTTTGGCACTTACATGCCCTTTTTGTGCTGCAATTGCTGTAAAACTCTTATTAAAATTACACAGAAATTGCTGAACCAGTCCAACTTCGACGACATTATCACAACCTATGTGACCTACCATAGGCAGGTGATGTTTTTGTGTTTGTTACTGTCTTGTAACACCTCTAATCTTCGACACTTATATGATCTAATAGTGTAGCAAGTGCTGTTAAAAAATTTACTAAAGCAGAAAACAAAAAACCTATAACATCAGCATGTGTGAGTGTCACAACAAAATTTGATCCACAGAGAAAACAGGAAACAAAAATCTTCATATCGGAAAAGTGAAATGTCTCTTCACCAAATATATATATTTTTTTCAGTTCCTGTGTGAGATGAATTTAATTTTACCTTTCTTTCACAACCCCCCTCAACCCCCTAAAACAAATAATAGTCCTTTCTATTATATGTTTACAGAACGTACCTCAAGGTAGATAAGAAAAAGATAACATCCCTTCTTCTGTTAGACTTGAACATGTACTGCATGTCATTGCTGAAAAAAGAAGGAATAAATTATAATGAAACAAAGAATTAATCATAGCTGTTTTTCTTATATGGAAATCTGATTTGATAGCTGTAGCAAACAATAAAAAAACATAAACAAGGAGGATGTGAAGTAAAGTGGGAAACGGAATTCTGAATTTTTTTTACATCAGCCAGTACAGAAAAAGACGGCAGCGAGAGAGAGAGAGAGAGAGAGAGAGAGAGAGAGAGAGAGAGAGAGAGAGAGAAAGAGAGAGAGAGAAAGAAAGTGAGAGAGACAGAGAGAAAAGGACAGAATGGAAAAACCTTATGCCACAGCAAACGCCGTAAAACCTTCTACTATTAAAAAAAAAAAGAATAGAAACAGAAAGAATCTGTGGCAGAAGGGAAAAAAAGACGTTAGCGAAAGAACATAAGTCATTCACCTGAGAAAGAAATCTTGACCGCTCTTGGAGTTGCTCATAAACTCCAGGTAGGGCAGGTTCCCCGGAGCTACAGAGGTCATGTACTCTGACTCTGCTATGCTGACAGCCTGACGTATCGTTGCGAAGGCAGAGGTGGCAAAACTCTCAAACTCAAACTCCTGAAAACAGTTTTGAAAAAGTTTAACTAAGAGTTTTATTGCACTGGCAACACACATAGGTCATATAAGTGACAGAGATAAGAAGTGTTGCTAGAGAGTAACATACAAAGAAACAGAGGAGCAATAAGGATGATAGCTGTTTGACTGCAAAGAAAGAGCAAACCACACAAGCCCATCCACCAACCAAACACCAGAATAAATCACACAAACACAGAAGTTTGTTGTTTTTTAAAGTATCCTCTCAAAAATTAATATACCCTTCAGTATTTGTGAAGTTTATAAGTCAACTGAAAAAGACAGAGCAATCAGCTTCATCTTTTCTTTTCAAACGAAAAAAGTTTATTTATTTATGGGACTTTTATTTAGTCTTAGTGACAATAATATAATAATAATAAAATAATTTTTAAAAAAAATGATAATAATGAAATTTAAAAAAATAAAAAAATATATTGTATACAAATTTTTATAGCATTTATTCCTCTGTGCAGACAGCTCTAGGCACTTTACTTAAGTTTTCCGTTGCCAATTGCAAAAGATAAAACATGTGCTGAGGCATTCTCCAGAAGTCAGAAAATGAGAACCATGAAGAAGAAAACAGGCTGTGAAACAGCATTACCTGCCCATCGTAGGTCACGGAGGTTGTGATAACATCGTCAAAGTCTGACTGGTTCAGCAATTTCTGTGATGATAAGAAAAATTAGTTTACTTTTGATATGAGTTTTACGGCATTTGTAACACAAAAAGGTCACATAAGTGCCACAGATAAGAACTCTTACTAGAAAGTAAAATAGAAATAAAAAGGAGGAGGAAAGATAAGGATGGTAGATGTTTGATAAGAAAGAAGGAACAAATCACACCATGGAACTCACTAACCAAGAATCAGCAAAGAGCTTAAAATTGAATGTAGAAACTATATATTATTATATGAATACGACTAATTTAAGGAGTCAATTTACAAGTAAGTGGAAAGCACCAGACAATTTTTAAGCATGAGGATGTGTGAGAATATCGACAAAATGAGTTGCTTCACACAATCCTGGAATGGAGATATCACCCAAAAATGGACCCTGGAATCAACTTTATAGAATTTCACTTGGTGCCATATTAGTTTCTTTAAGTTTAACTTGTTTTTTAAAAATTATTATTTTATCTTAATAAATTGTCCAAACTCCACCCATAAATCTGATGTATCTTATGAGCCAGAACAACAACAAAAAATCCAACACAAATTGCCAAACTGGCGGAAAAAATGACTGTTTTTTCAAAAGCAATATTTTAACCAGTGCCTGATTTCATCACGATGCCCCACAAATGTTAAACATGGCCTCCGTGTATCTGAAGCTGTTATGATGACTGCAACATCTCAAAGAATCCCACATGAAGGAACGCGAGAGTATAAACAGACTGAAAAGCCCATTGTATACATCAATACTATATAATGAAAGTAAATAAAAATATTTCAGTGTGATTCACAGGGATGCCACTGGTATTTTGTGAAAATACCTAAAAATTTACGCAGGTGTATTTGTAAACAAAAAGACAGTGAATAGACACAACAAAAATGGGGCTAATTAAAAAAACAACAAATGCTTTGAATAATAACTTATTCTTGTGAAAGTAATGGAAATAATGGAAAAAATCAGAAACTTGGAAAAATAGTATCCCTGGGTTTACAAACCTTTGGGGCAACCTCAGGATTTTCTACCCAGAACTTTCTGAGCCCTTCCCTTATGCAGGAGAGGAGGCCAAATCTCGGATGATCTTTGTTTACAGGAACCACACCTTTCTTTGACATACGTTTTCGCAATCGGTACCATCGCCTATGCTTTCTGTGTTTGAATTTTCTGGAAAACAAAGAATAAAGAGCATTGTAAAGCATTGCCAGTGAATATTTGTCACATTTTAAAAATGACAGACAAGCAACTACCAGGTAGGCAATTCTATATATCGTCGGCCGAGAATTCTAACTGTCTTACTCCAATTTCGTAAATTTTGCAGGAGAGACAAAAAACTGAATTCAAAGGCTCTTATGTGGATTTACTATCTTTAAATGCGCTAGACTGGAATACATGACTTTTCTTTTAAGAATTAATAACAAAATTGCCGAAATTTTATTATTTTAAGTCCTAAACCAGAGTTATACGGATAGACCACTCGGTTTTGGATTTCTAAGCGTCCAAGTGTCGACGAACGAATTGTATGTTTAGAATTCTCTAACCCGGCGGGGACGCCAGGAGCTTCGTTACGTCTAACTCAGTCATCGTGACACGTTAGTGTTATCGAACAACTCGAAATGACTACATCTGCAGTCAATCCAATAGGAAGCCTATTATAAAAGTTCTAATTAGTACTACATGGTGCTGTAGATCTAGAATCTAACAATGATACTGCTGTTAAATATCTAAAATTGAACGTCGCACTTTATTTCCACATAATTCTAATTAGGCAATGGGCCTGTCCACAGATTAAGTGCGTCGTTAAGTTTTTACTGTAAAGCTACTATTTGATCCTCCATTCTGGAGGGAATTGTGAGAAGGATTGGTTACTTGTCTAGCTACAAGAGAGAGAGAGAGAGAGAGAGAGAGAGAGAGAGAGAGAGAGAGAGAGAGAGAGATATTGAGAGAGAGAGAGAGAGAGGGGGAGGGGAGGGGCCGAGAAAGAGAGAGAGAGAGAGAGAGAGAGAGAGGGAGGGGTCTGAAAGAGAGAGACAGAGAGAGAGAGAGAGGGAGAGAGACAGAGAGAGAGAGAGAGAGACAGACAGAGAGAGAGAGAGAGAGAGAGAGAGAGAGAGAGAGAGAGAGAGAGAGAGAGAGAGGGGGTGGGGGGGGGCAGAGAAAAATTTCCGTATACGAGTGGTCTTCATGGAGCTTCTTTTATGGCTGATTCTTCCTGTTTGAAGTGCAGATTCTGTCGCAGTGCTTTCTCTCTAGTCACTAGCAAAAATTTCCTTTATCATTTTCCTCCATGTTTTCCTGTCCTCGGTTATTTCTTCACAGATGCTGACATCTACTCCAAGTTTAAATAATCTGTTTTTGCAGATATCTTTGTACCCCAGTTTTGACCTTCCCCTTGGTCTCTTTCCCTGGGCAAGTTCTCCATAGAGAAATTGCTTCAGAATATGGTTGTCGTCCATTCTCTTGACATGGTCCAGCCATCTCAATCTTCTTAAACACAGGATTATATTATGTAGGGTTGATTCATTATGAGCAACAACAGCAGCATCACCGGCAAAGAAAAGGTCTCGTATTCTTGTTTGGTTTGTTGATTTTGGTCTTTGGCTCGAAGTCGAGCAAGATTGAAAAGCGACCCATCAGTTCTCCAGTGGAAGAAACTGAAATGCTTGTAACGCTAAAAACATGGTTTTACTTGGTTGGAAGACTCTAGAAGTAATATGATTTTTTTTAAAGCTCAACTAAACTTCATATAATACATCCCCACATAATGTATGGACTAATTAAATAACACATTTTACATAGAAAGTCATCATGATGAGGTATGCCAAAGCATTATCCAGTGTCAACAGGAATGAATTATCCTCTTGTCCCAGCACCATTATGAGGCTTTAAAATGCTCTACCCAATGAAGCTAAAGCTCTGGTTAGCTAAAAATAAACTACATAAACCAAAACACAATACATTGCATATTGAATTAGACTTAGCCGTGGGTTTTAACTTACGCACTGGTGACGTACTCAATTCTAGATTGTCATAGAACTTGTGGTAGTCAGATGGCACAACAGACTTCATTTCTTGCATGTGTTTGAACTTTCTACCCTGGTACAGAGGCAGTCCCTTCATGTCTTTATGGAGAATGTCTGTGGACTCGCCACGCTTCAAAGGCAGATGTGACCAGTTATCATCAAATCTCAGTTTGTATTAATTTGACCATCTGGTGTGTATTGAAGTGGTCTAATTAAACTCTGGTTGGTTAGTTTGATGACATCAGAAAAGATACAATGAGTCAAATACTTGACGACATATGGCTTCATTTTCCTACTTTCTTCCATTAGCCTGACATAATCAGCTGGGTAGTAGATGTGCTGTGAGCACTGTCCACCTCCATCTGTGTATAGCCCTTCTCTAGGAATTTTAGTGTTACAGTTTTACCATTGACAGAGCTGAAATGTAACAGTGCAGAACTCATTGTGACTTTGCAGTTCTGATACAACCACATCCATCTCTGAATATAATGATCTGGAGTCAAATCAGATGACAAAAAATCAGCCACACAAGGAGCAAATTCCTTTGCAGTCAGAGCACCTTCACATTCATTTGAGATATGACATACACAGTCTTTGCTCTCTATATCATATACTGTGAAATTGTGTACATTCAATTTCGTCTTGTAGAACAAAGCAGAAGCATTGGTGCGTGGATATAGCAGAACTGATTTCAGGTCCATTGTGATGTATTTGATTTTGGGGCTGCCCATGCATTCTTCCTTGTCTGCTGTCTTTTTTTGTATGCCCCCTCTTCCACATTCCCCTCCTCAAAGCCCACACAAAGATCACACCTATCTTTTCGAAGATGGAACAATGACAGGTTCATAGCATTGATCTCCTCTTTAAACTTGAAGGAGCAAAACGCTATCGCCGTGATCCACAATGGCGGACTACCTAAACGAATTAGACGGTTAGAATTCTTCAGTCACGGAAGCCAGTCGGAATATATAATTTCTCTTTAAAACAAGACTTTTGTTTGTCAAAATTGTTCTAGATTTTAATAGGATGTAGCCATTCGTCATGTCGATCTATTTTAAGGAAAAAAGCAATTCGAGAAAATTTCGGAGTTAGACGGTTAGAATTCTTGGCCGATGATATATATATATATATAGCTTTCAAATCACATTTATTCTATTATTTGTCTCTTCGGTAGTCGGTCATAATTTTTCATCACTTTCTAAACCTAACTGATTGAGTGTATATGTAACTTAACAGTGTAAGTTCTCTTTTAAGCATTACTATATGATATAAGTCTTAATAATAACAATAATAATAGTAATAATAATAATAATTATAATAAATAGCATTTGTATGGTGCTTAACCTCGCTCAACAGCAAGATGTGCTTTACAATCTATTATTACTTACTTATCAGCACCTGCCTCCTCCCTGGGTGTTCGGAAGGAGACATCAGTCATGCTACCCTCTGGGGCGATCGAAACTGTTGAACGCCGAGACGAAAATATGGCAGGAGAGTACCGCCCTTCCTCTAGTTTTATGGCCGACGCCATGAGGCAGATTTGTCATTCACACTGCAAACAGTAGCATAGTCTACATCAGATATGAACTCAAGCCTAAATTAAAAAGAAAGATTTACAGTCAACTGTGTCTAAGACGACCACCCGTTACAGAGGAGGAAAATAGCCATCTTAGGTGGCCGGCTTACACAGTGTCATTACAATGCAAAAAAACATGGAAGCCGGGAAAATGGTAAGTGGCTATTTGTACAGGTGATTGTCATATGCTTGTGGCCATTAGAGCAGGCCCCGCTGTACATGTAAAAGGAAGTTCACCACATAATATAGAGTACATTATTCATATGAGGAGAGAACTGCACATGTGATAAACGCAGTCACTTGAAGCCAGAAAACATGCAATTGATGACGAAGTATGTTGAGTAATGTTGGCCTCAAGATGCGGTGGTCATGCAAGTGTTCTCAGGGGCAAACCACGCATGACAAGTTCAAAAGTTGCACTATGTTGTGGCAAGCAGGTGCTGATGTTAACAACTAAATTTGAACTGACTGTACGAACTGCATTTCATTTGATTTTGTACTTTTGTTAAAATTAAATAGCATGCAATTTACAACTCTTAATCAGTCTGTCAGTGATAAAGTCATACAAAAATGTTACTGATCATGATCAGTCAGTAAGAAGGTATACATCTTATTGTCAATTCATATAGTACTTAACTCTTTCCGGACGTAGTTTTTTTGGGGTCTAGACATAATAAACTTGAGGCTCGATATATGGCTAAGCAGGTGGTGTACAAAATAACTTCATAAAAGCATAACCATCCCTCAAAACGTAACATATGATACACCAAATTGAAGGAAATTGAAAGAGGAATACATCTCAATATGAAACAAGGATTAATTTTGAACATAAGTATACATTTAAAGGGTTAGAAATGGCGATGGTGATGAGAAAAATAAATTTTGACGGAAAAAATTAATTCATCAAACATGTGCATAGCTTTCTTATCATATACAGGCCAAGAGCATAATCCATAAATTTATGAAAGCGCAGCTTTTTATTTGAATGCAATATTCCAATTTTTGTTTGAGTTAGAATATTTTTACTGAGCCGGGTTACATTGTTTTGTTGATCTAAACCGCAAGAACCAATTCATTCGTTTTTCCCCAAACCTACGCTTTGACAAAGTGAAACTAGATGTTTTCGTTTCTTAAGTCCTTTCTGAGTTTTTCAACAGCAATAAAAAGTAATTATAAATGACGGATCGTGTTAAAACGAGACAAAACTGAGGTACCCTATCACAGCCAATGTATCGGCTATACGTCCACAAGGGGTGTGCCCTCGCGCCAATATATCGGCGATACGTCCGGAAAGAGTAATCACACAATGAAGAGCTCTAGAGTACACACTTGGTCTCCTTTCTCTTGTATTCAGTTTGAAAACAGCTCTTAAATTCATCTTTTTATTTAAGGTATGTTCCCAACCAGCATGATTGTGGTAGCCCAAAATCCATTTGATGTCGGACAAAATAATAAAGTTTGCCTTATAAAAACTGATACTTTACCTCCAAAGCACACGGCAGTGATGACTACAATTTGATTACTTATTACTATTACTAAGGCGCATTATGTAATGTTTCTGGTATTTGCCTCTACGCTTATTGTCTGAGATTGGGAATGTAACTCCTTTATATTGATGTGTGAATGGACATCTTATGTCATCCGTTGCGAGCTTCTTGAAGCATCGAAAACACTCGAATTGTCACCTATGACATCACAGCCATTGATTTCCTTTAAGCAAATAATCACACCAAATTGTGAAGCATGCTGGTAACTGAGCAACTCTAAAAATGTAGCCTTCAGTTGCCTCACGTTGAGAGCAACTATAACGTTACAGCTCAAGGGATGCATTACCTCGCAGTATGAAAATTATTCTTAACGGATCCGTATTCTTAAACTTTAAAATCATATATATATAGATACTGGAACAAGCATCAATACTCCCTGAATTATCAAAAGCTAAAGGAATAGCTTCAGCATATTCATGAGATGTAAGCCTTCAGGTCAGCTTATAACGTCTCTTTTGTAATCATCATATCACCCCCCCCCCCCTCTCCACTTAATTGTAGAAAATGGGTGGTTCATCATGTTTTCCTTAAAAAATTGTTTACATTCATCTTAAAATTTTATGTTAGCCTAAATAAACGGAGAATTAAATTCCATTAGTACTCCTGTCTGTACTGTAAGTGGTATAAATAAAGTATGAAATGGAATGTATGATTACTGTATGAACAAGAAACTCTATGAATAAATACAAACACACAAATGAATCATTAAATCCACATCTCCGGATTTAGATCTAATCTAGTTGAACAATGTAAACATTTCATTTCAGCCCTTACCGAGCCAGAAAGCTGCATGGGCGAGGGCATCCCGACTCGTCGACCACTTGAGAAGTTGTTGTAGTATATTATTGTTGTTGTGTGAAGAATGACGTTTTGATTGTTCAGGCAGGTCCGCAATCGATCCTTTCACAATACTTCTTTGTAATCTTAGCAACATAGTCTGCCGTATACCCGTATCTTCTTTCCGAGATCATTGTGGCCGAGACCACCGAACACCCCCCTCTGTCATAATTCCCCAATTTCCAGTCTCGGACCCTATCGATCGCGTGTCGAAATTCTGTGTACATGTAACATACACACCGGTTTGTTTTCCTAAACGACACAATAAACAAGAATGGTATTTTGTAGTCTTCTTAACAGGAGAGCTTTAATCCGCGTAAAGCCTTAACAACTTGTTAAAAGCTCTGGTTTCCATAAGTTTTGATAATATTTTTATTTTTTAGACTTCAAAACATGTGTTAAGTTAATTATAAATGTTTCAAGCTACAGATTATTGTAGATATATATAAAAAAATAATAAAATGGTTGAACCTCACTTTAGTTGACGCTACAAGTGTACAGGATATCATATCCCAACCCCTACTTTCCGTTTCACTTTCGAAGTTCTTTCACTTTTGCTCTTGTAGGCCTACTTGATCTAGAGTCTAGAGTCAAAATCTATAACAACGTTTATGATGACCAAATCATTCTGTCCATTCATCGTCTTTGTGTTAAATGGATCTGACTGAAAGTGAAGGTGATAGATCTAGTAAAAACTTTGCGAAGATAATTAAATTAAGCAAATGGAAGAGGCTAGCCGTACTTAATGACGGCTAAACTGGCAGTCTAGCCGTCTAGACTCGCAGTCTAGCCGTACTTATTCTCTTAATATGATGGCTAGACTGACCATTTACAAAAAATAGGCCTACTGAATTGTAAATATACATTTTTAGTGTGCAGTACCTAAAGTATTTGCATTTGAGACGAAACCAGGTGCCTTAATGACAGTGAAAGTATTTTAAACCTCCTGTTTTCTAATATTAATATAGGGCTTTTAATGAGATAAGTACGGCTAGACTCCGTACTTAAGTACGGGTAGACAGCCAGGCTAGCCGTACTTAAGGACGGCTAGACTGTCAGGCTAGCCTTACTTAATATTGATGGCTGAATTATAAATGAAATTTTTAGTTTGCAATGCCTAAAGTATTTGTATTTCAGACAAAACCAAAAGATGCCTTACTGACTTGCATGTATTTGAACCTGAATAATTACTAGATATAGATCTAGATATAGCTAGATCTAATGAGACCTGTGTACTAAACAGGCTTGAGTCGAAAGGGCCAAACCTAGATCTAAGTATGGCTAGACTGGCAGTCTAGCCGTACTTAAGTACTTCTAGATGTAGATCTAGTATTACAGAACGGCTGGCACATTCTAGCTGTCCTTTTTTTTTAGAAGAGGCTGTGTACTAAGTTGGCCCTTAGTATAGCCCCCTATACTTTAGGCCTGGTTAAAGTTCAATAGTGGCTTTCATTGGTCTGTGAGTCTAATTATTTTTTTAATTTTAGGCTCAGGAGAAAAAAAAAAAACCTTCCGGGACCGGGATTCGATGGCTCGCTTGGAAGCACTGAACATTAGACTTATAATAGAAAGAGAACGTAGACAGCTTTATATATATGCGTTCTCTAGGCCTAACTTTATATATAATATTTTTAGATAGATCTATTGTAATATGACACTGCGGACAGGAAATATACTTTATACCGAGTTGCATTGTCTTGTTATTGTTATCCAAGAGTCTTTCGACTTACTTGCTCTCATACTCAAATGATTATGATTAGGCCGGCTCTATTTCTCCGAACGTTCGGGAAAATAAACTTGAACTCTAGATCTATTTCTCCAAACGGTTTCCATTCTCGAGATTTGTTGATAATAAGCGAATCGAGTGGCCCATGTGTGTGTGTGTGTGTGTGTGTGTGAGTGTGTGTGTGCATGTGTGTGTGTGTAAGGTGTGAACGGGTGGGGGAGGGGGGGGGCATGGGGGATTTTTTTTTTTTAACATGAAGGATTTTAGTTTTTGCTGGGTGACTAAATACGAAATAGGTTACTGCCAAGGTCGAGCAGTCTTGTTTTCTCGCAGTACCTTTTCCTGTATTAACAAATGAAGGATAGTCCGGGAACGTTGCCCCAACCACAACTGAAGTGTCTGAATATTCTGACATTTAAAAATCTCAAGCTGTAGAAATTGTAATTGATGCACAAAATGCTTCTTTCTCAGTCCTCACAAAATGGCAGAATGAAAGTATGACGCCTAAATCTCGCAAATAATCTAAAAAATCTCGAGATCGGAAACAGTTTGGAGAAAAAGAGTTAAACTTTTTTTTCCGAACGTTCGGAGAAATAGTCACTTCATTTTGATTATGAGAGATGAACAAAACTACGTCTAGTCTACTTTTGTGCAAACAATGTCAGAAACAATTGTTAGATCTTTATCAAGATCAACTAGATCTACTCAATATTGACTGGAATAAGACGTCATTAAAAAAAAGGAGTCAAATCCTAGGAGGTTTATCAAGAAACTGAGAAAGCTTCCCCAATTCAGGCAGAAACAATATTATTATGTAGAAATGATGACTACTATCTAGTACTGGCATTTCAAATAGCGTGGGAGCTATTCAGAACGCGGCGTTATAAATAGCACAGGAGCTATTCTGAATGCGGTGTTGCAAATAGCGCCTGCCTAAATTCTCTCATTCTAAGGCCACCTTTTTTCTCACCCCGGGAGAGAATAACCCATGTCTCGCTATTCTCACCCTACTGCGGGACCTCACAGGAATCCCCGTTTTTTTCTATGTGAACTCAATTACCTGTGCTCGGGTTTAGCGGGGCAAGGAACTGCCAAACTCGGATACAGCGGGAGAGATCAAGCAAGCTCTAGCTGGGGGAGAAGGGTGTTGGGGAGCTGTAGGTGGGCTCCAAACAGGCAGTCAGCGGTGCGGCGTTGTGATTGGTCAGTCCAGTGATGAGTGAGGTGGGGCAGGTAGCAGAGAGAGATGGTGCTGAGAGACGCTACGTGAGCCACTCCTAATGTGATGTGACATAGGTTAGACGCTCAGTATGAGAGCGTATAGGCCATAGCCCTAGGCTTAGGCCTGGCCAAAAAGTAAAAGAAAAGGAGAGCGTGTAGTGAGTGACTCCTGATTAATGGAATTGCGATCGTTGATGCTCATAGGCTTGCGCACGCATCCACTTCACCAATTCTGCAGTAGCCCTACCGGTACGATAGACAGCACAAGCAACAAGACCGAGGAAAAATGGCTTCCAATAAAGACTTAAGGAAATGTTTCTCATTCGATTTAAAGGCTGAGATGATTAACGCAGTTCACAAGAATTATGGAAGACTTCTAATCTAAAGCTCAAGTTTTATTGATATGGAAGGCAGGCAATCATGTGGATTTTAAAAAATGTTTAGGTAATTTCCTTTTTGCATTCCTATAGCGGGAACTCTCCTTTAGCGGGATTTTTCTTCTGGAACCAAAAGTCAAGCTATACTCGTGTTCTACTGTATTAGTATTTGAGACACTTGATATTTTTATTTAAACTGTTTACGTATTGGCCTAATTGCATATTAATCTTTTGTGCATTGAAAAAAAATCTTGGTGGTTTCAGAGAACCAACCCCCCCCCCCCTCTCACCCTTACCTAAGATTAAAAAGGTTTTAGCTGCATCCCTATTGTATTTTTCCTCATAAAACGATGTTTTACAATTAGGTTTGAGATTTTCAAGAAAACAATTCATTTGAGGTGGTTTTATTGGCCATCATAGAAGTGTGTTTTGCAGCCGAAGTTGCTGCAATGTAGCCCCCAAAAGCAGTGCATCTGGGTGCTGAAATGTAGTAGTAAGTAAAAATTTACCTCATTTTGAGTAAGAGATGTAAGGTTGCTTCAGACACTTTTTCTTACTAATCTTGATCTTGCCTCACAGGTTCTAGAAGTGAAAGTTGTGCAGTGGAACACCGACAAGAGGAAGATGCTGAAGACAGGGTTCTCTTCAATCCCCCTTTGTATCATCAACGATATATGTTTGCCGTTCGGCACCTGACATGTCATGAGGTGAAAAGTGTAAGTTTAATAGCTAGTTTTTTCTTTCTCTGTGTGTGTCTTGAATTTCAGTTCAACAATGTCAGTTTTATGTACTTTCCCCAGGTTCAATCGGACAAAAATATGCAATGAATACAAAGGGATTGAGAGGCTTGAGTACATTGACTGAATTGAATGTGTGGCAGAGCGAACTATGTCAGACGATTTTTTATGTTAAATTTTGAGGAAATTCAATTCAGAAGAATTCAGTGTAATGAAAGTCAAGAGTCTCGTAATGCTGCATAAAAGGTTTCATTGGAGTTTTGCTTCAAAGAAAAGAATGTTTCTTAGTATCTTAAAACCTCAATGCGGAAAAAAAAATCTGTGATAAGTTTTGCGATGGAACTTCCTGTGTGAACTATCCAACACTGAAAAAGGACTTCCTTTCTCTCTTAGAGTTCTTATGAGGTAAAAAAAAGTCATAGTCCATGTATATATATGTTTATAGCTTCACATCAATATCAATGGCCTTTGATGATAATTTATTCTGATATATATGAGTTATGCTTTCTGATATTGATAAAAAGGAACAGATTATCAATTAATACAACTCGTCCCTTTTAAACAGCTTAAAGTGACTTAGTAGGCCCTATATTTGAATTGATTTGAGAACTTGTTCTTTGTTCAGGTGGTGGACATGGGCTGCTCTGATGGCAGCTTCTTCAAAGTCCTGGCCATGGTCCCCACCCTGGAGCAGGCAGCCTTGCTGGATGTTGATCATGCATTGTTGGAGTCGAAGAAAAGAGTCATCAACCCCGAGCTGAGACATTTCATCCATCGGCGCAGCGTCCCGCTGACCGTTTCGTTATACTCTGGCAGTGCTGGAGATTTTGACTCAAGGCTGTGTGGCTTGGATGCCGTTACTCTTATTGAAGTGTGAGAGTTTTGTGTTCCTATTTTTCCGTCACTTTTCCATTCTCACATATCCACCTGACCTTCTGTCCAAGTGAGTGGTTGGCAGGTGTTCTGCTGTGGTTTGCTCCTTCTTTCCTATGAAACATCTGTTGTCTCTATCTCTCCTTTTTTTCTTTGTTCCGTACGTTACTCTCTTGCAACACCTCTAATCTTTGGCACTTATCTTATATGATCTATTTGTGTTGCAAGTGCTGTAAAAGTCTTTCTAAAACTGAACTTTTTTCCATTCATTAATTGTTCAATTGTTGTTAGTCATTTATTTCCTAAAATTCATCGGGTTCTTTTATTCTTCTGACATATTTTTCTATCTTTCAACAGGTTTTGGATGAAGGAAAAAACAAAAGATGATTGTCTTGAAGACATATTATCTATGGGTTCCCATTTTTAATATAAGAGGTCTCTGTGTTGTCACTCCTTGACAGATATGTTTTTAGACAGTCTTTTATTTAAACATCACGAAACTCTCCTAATTTGTTCTAATTTTTTATTTTTTATTTTCTTTTTGCTTTCACCAGAATTGAGCACCTGCATCCAGATACTTTGGAGCAGGTTACTGCTAATGTTTTTGGAAACATGCGGCCCAAGTTTTGTATAGTAACGACACCCAACTCAGAGTTCAACATTTTATTCGGTAACGAGGACCCGAAGCAGTTTAGGCACTGGGATCACAAGTTTGAGTGGACGAGACAGGAGTTTCAGCTGTGGTGATTTCTTCTTATATTTTTAAAAATGACAATGCTTTTATGCCTCGATCGACACAATTTATATCATTTGGGAGGCAAGCTTGCGACCTTGCTTGTTTGGGCCAGTCCGAGCTAAGATGGATGCTACATCTCCGCAGAAAGATTGAGTTACTCAACAAAGGTTTCTCCCCACTCGAGAATAGACTTCGGGTCTTCTGTGTGCAACTGTGAAGTGCCTCACTACGGCACCACTGAAGCCTGTCAGCTGTGCTGAGGACTGTGTCAGTGTAACTGATTTTGAGTGGCCGCCTTCGTTCTGTTCTAGCTATAATTTTTTACTCAAAACAGGTGGGAGAGGAGAAAGAGACAGGTAGGTAGATAGATAGGTAGGCTCTAGAGGGAGAGACAGACAGATAGACAGAGACAAAGAGAAAGAGATGGAGAAAAAGACGCTAGAGAAATAATGAAAGAGATAGAGAGGTTGCCCAGTATTAAGTGACAGTAGAGCTATAGCCGTCTTCCTCTGAGAAGGAACATAAAGAATTTACTTTGTGGGACATCGTGATTATTGAAAGGAACGTTGTGCAGCTATCATTATATGGCATTTGATGGAAGTGCCTTAGCCAGGTTGTTGCTGGATAAACGACCACTCCTAAAAAACAAAATCTCTGTGTTTCATTTTCATAAATAATCTGCTCTGTGTTTACTTAGGCCATTCCCTGAAAAATGAACCTGCAGTGACACACGCAATACGAAGATGATGACCTGAGGAAAAAATTCTAAGCAGTGATAAAGCCATTGCTTTTTAATATTTCTCGGTAGAAGCAACCCTCCTCATACATAAAAGTAAAAGCCAAAAGATATCCCGATTCTATTACTGTTTAGAATTTTTTAGGTCATCTGTTTCACTGCAGTGTCATTATTCTTTTGAATATACCATTTTGGTTTTATAAATGTGTGTGTTCTTGAATAAAGGTCCCAGTTGTCGGCAAAGCTTATTTTGAGCAATGATGTGAAAAGAGGAAAAAAGCTGTTCCCTATCAAAAATTTAGTTCCTTCAGAAAAAACACATTTAACAATTTCTTGATAACATACTGAAAGAATTTTAAAATAAAATTTTGAGCATAAATATTTTTAAATTAATTATTTTTGCAATATATGTGAGGCATCGTCTTGAAATCAGGCGCTCGTCAAAATAATGAAATCAAAGAAAACAGCATTTTTCTGGCCGTTTGACAATTTTTTTTCGAATTTTCTTTTTTTGTTTCAACACCTTTCATGTCCTTTGAAAACCACATTTCTGTGTTAATTTTTCTGAAATCCGTTAATTAAAAGCACAAAAAAATGTAAATTTTCGGTTTCCAAAGTCTCTGTTGCTATGGAAGTCACCTGTCTTTGACAGCCATTTTCTCGCTGATTTTACCTCTGAAACTAGGCGACCCCAACCTCCTTCAATCTGTTGAAGATCGATGGGTAATTTTTCGTTGAAACTTACACAAATAAACAAGCTTCAAGATGATATCAATAACTCCTCACGCCCAAAAATAAACGAACGCCTGATTCCACCGCGTCATGACACATATTGTACTTCACCAAAGTTTAAAAATGTGCTAGAAATTGGGGTTTTCTCCTAACTTTGTTTTTATACTCTGTGTTACAAAATGTGGCATATCTTTATTAGTACTCAAGATATTTGAAATACGTAAAAATCAGCATTGAATTTGCTACAAGAATGAACCCTTGACCCTAGCGGCACGTCGTGTTTTACTATAGTATCCATACGGCGTGGGGAACTCTATGCCACCATTTTCCAAAGAGGAGATTTACTCGTTAATCCTATCCGTACGCTTTGCATAGCAGTCTGTCAAAATGATTTTTTGAGAAATACTGAAAGTTTCAAAGAGATTTTCGCACTAGAAGTATTCTAAAATGTGAAGAATACAACCGCGGGGGTACAAAATGACCCCACGACGTACGGATGGGGTTAATATCCAAAATTTCCTATAATTGAGAAGTTTCAGCAATCTGATCCCCTCTCCCCACCAGGTGTCACGAAGTCTGCGTCAAGTTTGGCTACTCAGTGGAGTACAGCGGAGTCGGGTACCCCTTCTCCGACCCACACAGCCTCTCTCTGGGGCCATGCAGTCAGGCAGCCATCTTTTCTTCTCAGCACGATGAAAAAGCCCAAGCTGTGCATAGGCAAAATCTGCCCAACACTGAATGTTACACACTGGTATTTGGATTTTTTCTCTCTGTGTTAGACTCGTATTCTCGTGTATTGGATTTTTTCTCTCTGTGTTAGACTCGTATTCTCGTGAATTGGATTTTTTCTTTCTGGGTCAGACTGGGATTTGGATTTTTTCTTTCTGGGTCAGACTGGGATTTGGATTTTTTCTTTCTGGGTTAGACTGGGATTTGGATTTTTTCTCTCTGGGGCTGTGCATCACGCACAGAGGCACACAGGTGCGCTCTCACATACTCTGACTATGATTTTTTTCCCTCCATTTTATCATATATGACGCCAAACAAAAATTCAACAGTGTCCTATTTTTTTCTTCAATTCATGTTTCTTTTTACTGGTCTTTGCTATTTTAGTCACAAGCTTTTATTAAAAGCTGGCCTCTAAGATGCTGTGGGTTTGTAGGTTTGACCAGCTTGTAGAAGTTAAGGATTTAAATCTGAGAGGGTCCAAATTATTTTTGTCCTTCCTGGAATGTTTTCCTTGCTTCCCAGTGGCCTGACCACAGGGTTCAAAAGCTCTGTCTTCTGAGTGAATTAGTCAGAGACGAGCGCTTTGTTATATATTGAAATGTTGATATGTCGACATCATGGTGGTTGATGATTGCCACTAATACATACATGAAGACTGCAGGGGAAAAAAGACTGTAGTCACAAACTGAAAATCGAGAGGGTATCAATTTTGAATGCTTGTTGACTCATAAATGTATTTTTGTTCAACTGTTGGCAGATTGTTGTTGTTAGATTCCCCATTCCACAACACTTAAAAATATACCACCAGTCGAATACAAATGAAGTTATGAGTCCGCAAGCTTTTAAAATTGGCACCCTCACAATTTCCAGTTTGTGACTACTGTCGTTTTTCCCCTGTGCTCTTCAAATGTCTGTCTTGCTTCTCATCTGTGCTAGAACTCTGGGAGTAGCTAACTAAAATCTTCATCTCAAAATGTAGTTTTGATTTTAAGTACATGGCTGTTCTATCTAAAGAGAGCATAGAATTATCCTTGTCCAACAGGCCGCCACAGGCCGTTTTTAAAAATTGTACTCTTAACATTTATACTGAGTGGAGAACCACTCTTCTCCTCCACAGAGGGTGGCCATCTTGGACAATTCCAACTTTCCAACTGTATCTTTAATATCTTTCCTATGGACAAATTTATTTCACAGATTGCCACATGCGAATTTCCCTTCAGAAAAGATGAGAGGTCACTAGAGGAGAAGATCGATGACCAAGTGCAGTACTGTTTGAATTCCATGATTTCCTTCAGGAGGAAAGAGGTTGCTTATGGGGAGGAGATTACTATTGCTGTCAGTGCGGTTGCCGACTTTTCTTGTGTGAAAAGTTTGTGTGGCATTGAAACTGTGAGGTGGGTGTTTCTATAGCTAGCTCTTTTTCCACTGGTATGTTCACTAGAAAGAACAATTGGGAAACGACCAATGCATTTGTGAGGCATCGTGGTGAAATCAGGCGCTCGTCAAAATAATCAAAGTGAAGAAACTTGCATTTTTCCGCAGGTTTGTGAATTTTGATCGAATTTTTGTTTTTTGACTCAACACCTTTCATGCCCACACATTTCTGTGTGGATTTTATGGAAAAACGTTGATTAAAGGCACAGAAATGTAAATTTTAAGTTTTCACGGACTCTCAAGCTAAGGAAATAACTCATCTATGGTTGCCTTTTTCTCACTAATTTTACCTCTGAAACCAGGTGATCCCCACCTCATTCATTCGCAAATATCTCGACTTCTATTCAAGATATATGTGTAATTTTTTCAACAAAAGCAAGACAAATGAACAAGCTTTATGATGATACCAATTACTTCACATGTCCAAAAATTGACGAGCGCCTCATTCCACCATGTCGCGCCACATTTTCTAGGGCATTTGTCTTGACATAAATGCTTTGAACGTCTTGATTTCAGTGAAAAAATAAAACGCGAACGAGGCAAAGAATCTTATTTGGAAAACTTGAACAGATGGGTGATGGGAAGACACCAGGATAATACAGTCCATGCCGGCTTTAAGCACAGTCATCGGAAGAAAGCATAAGCGTGCTTTATGCCGAAGCGTGCTTGAGTGCGAAGTAGACATAATCCAGAGATTTCATGTAGAAAATTTCCAGAGCTATTTCCCTTTGTTTGTAAATCGTGGTCGGGCAAAAGTGTGCCCTGTCATTTTTACCCGCCATGGCAGTTTTTGTTTGTTTGTTTTGCTTTTCTTAATTTAGACGGCCACTCACAATACGGCACACTAGGCCTACACACTGCCTGTGCGTACCACTGCCCGCTGCGCCACATCCATACCACCGCCTTCATCCCACCTCGCGCGTGACACATGATCAGGATTAATGAATAGCGAAGGTCAAAGATGAAATAGCAGCCAGCCTCCCTTTCTCGTCTCCCCGACTCTCTTTGTCTTTTTCTTTTGTCTGTGTTTAGCTTTGCCCATGGTTAGATCGTATAAGTCCACGCGCGCGGCTGTGTGCATCTCTCTCTCTTCCTCTCCACACATGTGAGTGTGTACTGTGTGTCTCCGTCTCTTCCGTTCTTTGTGTTTCTCTTAACACACTCCACTGCTGCGGTGTAGACTGTGTTCAAACGTCGATGGGTCATCATGAAAGTATTGACTGTCTTGTAAATGAAGCGTGCCCGAAGCCGAAGTTACCGTGCTGAAAGGCGTGTAATTTATATAGATCTAACAAAAATTCGGTAAGAGCCGTTTAGCGTGCTTGAGTCCGAAACGTGCTTTATGCCGGCGTGCTTAAAGCCGACTCGGACTGTATAGGATTTTTGAGCACCTTAATGGAGAAATGAACGGAGAACTATTACCTCTGATGTCTGTTTCAGATCTGGCACTTTATGATGAAGATGTTCACTAGTCAGCTAAGAGTGAAATCATTGTTCTACAGACTTCAACATAAGTTAAGGACCACCTTGACAGTCTTGATGATTTTTAAAAAATCAGAAAAAAAGGCATGGAAATCTTCGGGCCATTTTAGCCAAATTTGATTTTTTTTATCGACTTGTGTGGGCCACTCAGTTAAAATTTCAGGTGCATGTCATAAAGGACGTACGGTTTCGCACTGTGCTCACTTTGATGGCAATATAAACCACCGTTTGTGCAAAATCCAATATCGCATCAACATGCCACCAAGATGAAAGCTGAGAGACTTTGACCGTGCCAAGGCTATGACATGGCTGCAGGATGGAGTAAGAGCCCAAGAAGTTGCCAGAAGTCTTGCAGTGTCACACTCTGTCATTGTCCGCCTGAGGCAGCGCCATCAAGCCATTGGACCAGTCCAAGAACGCCCATGTGAAGGTCGACCCAAGAAGACCACCCAGAGTGTTTGCAAGTGGTCCTTAACTTATGTTAAAGTCTGTATTTTTGTGTTAACTTGTTAAATACAGTGGAGTCAGCTTAAACTAAAATCTGCTGGACCTTTGGATTTTCTTCAATTTAGCTGAGATTTTGGTTTTCCTGGGAGAAATTTGCCTTGGTTTCTTGGTTGTTTAGAAGAAGGCAGTGATGTTGCAAGCACTCACACATATTTACTTGCACAAGACTTAACTCATTCGCTACGCCGAGCCGTGGGCAGCGGCGCGGTGAAAATGTCTTCTGCGCTCTGCATGCCAAGCCACCCCTGACCGCTCGACAACCGACCTATAATTCTAGCTTTGATTTTATTCCAATCCACATATCCATGTTAAAATAAAGGTTATAATACAACATTGACTTCCGGGTCACGCGTTTCCACTGAAAATCGGAAGTGCAGATTCAATTTTGAATCCTGATTTCAAAGTGTATTCTACTTTGTTTTATCGCGATTCCCAAATTATAGCTCAGACACCAGTCTTAGTACTTTTATACAACAAAATGTATAATTATTTTGCTCACTAAAGAGATGTAGGACTCTTATTTAGAATATTGATACTATTGGACTCAAATTGAAATGATCTGTTATTGAGAAATCAATATTTTTCAGTGCTAGATCTAGGTCTTTTTTTTGGTTGTAAATGAGCCCTCCGAGATTTTTTGCCCTTGTCCGAGAAGGCTAGGCGTAGATCTTTCCTACCAGAAGATCAGGGGTGTTGCTGAAAGACAGCAGTTAGAAGAAGCGAAGGAGTAACAGTAAAAAGGCTGCAGAAAGAATCAGGAACCCAGAGGAAGGGCCAAAGGAGGTGAGGGGGTGGGGGCAGAAAGAGGAGACGAAAGCAGACGACAGAACATTGCTAGAGAGCAGGAAATGAGGTGAAAGGAGACAAATTTAGAGAAGAAAATTTGTCGGTCGCTACCCGCATTCGAACCCGGGACCTTTGAATGAGAGGCCAACACCTTAACCCCTAGGCCACGAGAGCCCCCAGATCTAGGTTTAGATCTAAATTGTCAAAATATTTTTTTTTCCTCCCCGAAATCACTACTTTTTGGTGAAATTTTGGTGAAATTACACAAAAAGTACCCCGGCATGTACAGGTTTATCCAAAAGCAATTCTGAATTATTTCACATAAGATACGATTGGGTTTATTTTCTGTTTGTGAATGCATCTTGTCCCTTTTTCAAGATTATACAATTTAAAAAAAAAATTTCAGTATCAGATGTTATGGTCCCTATGTACACATTTTATGGAATGTATGTAAATAACTGCAAATTTTTCAATATTTTCCTGTTCTATATATTCATTTATGGTTATTTTGATGTATCATTTGACTAGGTGCACACATATTTTTTTAGTTTCATCCAAGTGAAATTGTGTTGCATAATCACCTCTTACAAGAACCAAAGTTGAAAAATACACTAATAAACATTACAGATGGATTCTACATACCATGCTGAAAATTTTGATACATAATATGTTGATATTTATTTGAATTTGTGGCCCTGAAGTCCTGTGAACTGCGCACTAGTCACTATCTCACTTCGCCCTCCTGAAAAAAAATCCGTCCACAAGCCGAAAGTAATAAGTAGCGAATGAGTTAAAAGAACATTAAATACATGTATTATGTGCTGAAACTCCCCTTGCTCTGCGAACATTCTCTCTCTCTGTCTGTCTCTCTCTCTCTCTCCCTCTCTCTCTCTCTCTCTCTCTCTCTCGCTCTCTCTCCCTCTCTCGCTCTCTCTCTCTCTCCCCCCCCTCTCTCTCTCTCTCTCTCTCTCTCTCTCTCCCCCCCTCTCTCTCTCTCTCGCTCTCCCCCCCCCCCCCCTATCTCTCTCTCTCTCTCTCTCTCTCTGTTTCATTTGTAGGACTGTATGTATAGTAAGCTCACTGCAGTTGGTACGAATGACTTTCTATTATACCTTATCTGTCTGTTCTTACTTTCTCAGTTCTGGTACATTCAAACTTTTTACTGTTCACAGGGAAAGTCTTCTTCGAGGTGGATATCATCTGTCTGAAGACAAAGAGTTTGTTGTTCATTTGGAAGATGAATCTGACCTCAGTGATAACGGTTCTGATGATCCCTCCTCTGGATATCACGATGTTTGTTTAGCAGAGACTGAGACCTCAGCCCAGGACAGTTTGCTTACCGAAAATTCTGGATTGTTTGCTACTGAAAATGTTTTCTCAAATGACAGTGGCTGTGGGACACAGGACACATGGACTCCAAATATGTCCAGTTTGTCTAAAGCTTCTTCTTCCGGTAATCAAGATGATTGGGACTTAGAAATTGCTCTTGATGAGGAAAGACTCGAAATAGCTAAGAACTCTGTGGTAGGAGACCTCAGTGTAACAGATAGATCTAGTTCTGTCACTGACTGAAGCTCTTTCATGATGTGTTTACTTCCTCCTGCTCACATCAACTCTACTGTGATGACGTTTGGCTCAATGATGCTCTGTTGCTGACTTCAGGTATCATGCATCTCTTGCCTCTTGACTGGTACTGTAACATATCATAATCAAGCATTAACTCTCTCCCTCAGAATGTTCTCAGGCGATGGTGAAATTCATAGACTGTTGAACAATGATGAGATGGGATGGTGAAGTTCATAACAACAAGATGATGATGAAATGAGATGTTCGCATGTGATGTTGATGTTCATAGACTGTTGAACAATGATGAGATGGGATGGGGCTGTTCATAGACTGTTGAACAATGATGAGATTTGATGGGGATGTTCATAGACTGTTGAACAATGATGAGATGGGATGGGGATGTTCATAGACTGTTGAACAATGATGAGATGGGATGGGGATGTTCATAGACTGTTGAACAATGATGAGATATGATGGGAATGTTCATAGACTGTTGAACAATGATGAAATGGGATGTTCACATGCCATGAAGGAGAAAGGTAGCTAAACTGAAGAGTGAATACAATCTGGCTTATTCTAGCCCTTTCATCCCTCCAGAATAGCTACTATGTGACACAACTGTCAATTTATGGAGCTGTTTTTTAAAACATTTGATATGTTTGTATTGCACAAATGACTATGAGCGGATGTGTTTGAGATGCTGTGTTGCAAAATAGAACAGCTCTGTATCAATTCATCAGTCAAATAGATTTATTTTGGTGCTTTGCATATATATATATATATATATATATATATATATATATATATATATATATATATATATATATATATATATACATATAAAATATATATATATGGTGTGAGTGTGTTTCAGAAATAATTTAGTCTGCTTGAAAATTTGTAAATGATTTTCTGATCCCACTGGTTGACTTTGACATGTTTTACCTTTAGGGCTCACTGGATCCTATTTCAGTTTCGCTTTCTGCTACATGTAATTACATCCCAGACAAAAAAACCCGTGGCAAAAGTAAACCGGATGCCACACGTTTTGTATTCGGTTTGTTTCAGGCACAGCATTTTAAATATATGACACAGGCAGGGCAGGGCCCAGTGACAAGGGAAAGAAAGAGAGAGAGAAGGAGAGAGAGAGAGAGAAGGGGAGAGAGAGAGAGAGAAGGAGAGAGAGAGAGAGAGAGAAGGAGAGAGAGAGAGAGAGAGAGAATACAATTTTTTTAAATTGTGAAATTAAAGACGATGAACACACCATCGATTCCAGTTTAATGTTCAATTTCTTGCCGTTGTCTGAAATGTAAATGTTATTGGAATAGTTGTCATCACAGTTCTGTCTTATATAGGTTGTCTCTTTTTGTACCACTACAATGAGAGCTTCGCTCAGAATCCATTATAACAAATGAGCAAAACAAAGTTGCTGGGAGGAATTCGGGAGAAATACTTATTGCAAGATAAGACCTATGCGTTCAGCTCAGCAACTAGACGTGGCAGGGAAGCGAGATGAAAAGGAGACGAACTCACTCAGTTCACGATCATGAAATTATGAGACACTTCATGGTTTTCATGAACTGGGAGGAAATCTCAAGCTGAGGGCAAGCAGAAGTTGAGAGGGAAGGGAAGCCACTAGGTTGACACCCTTCGACAGCATTTTCCTCTTGAACAATGACTATTGTTAAGACAGTATCCCTTTTTGCCGTTACACTGATGACCTAATTCAGTAAGTTCTGCAAGTAACAATCAGTGGGACAAGCACAGGTGCCTGATAGAGTCTGAAGGAGATACCTTTTTCTTCTCATTACCACCTTAACTCTTAAGTTAGTAGAAGGTTTTGCACATGGACTCCGTTATTACTGCTTCCCTTCCAAGAGAGAGAAACTGCTCCTCTTATTTTAAATCTTTTTGTCGAGTCTTGGAGGAGCTGTCATGATCAGATATGTACTCTGAAATTATGTTCAGCATTAAAGGTTTCGCTGTCTATACTATGTACAGTACAGGAATATTCACTACTAAAGGTTTACTTGCCTATGTACAGGAATATTCACTGCTAAAGGTTTACCTGTCTATGTACCAAAATGTTCAGTGCTAAAGACTTCGGTGTCCACTAAGTGATGCTGCCTGTTTGTCAGTTCTTTTTTCAGCTTCCCTTTCTTCTACTCGGAACTGCTCCTTGCAGAATTTTCTGCGCAAGAGAAGACTGACGAAACATGTGACGTCGGTGGCCTAGTGGTTAGGCTCTTGGACTCGCAACCGTAAGGTCGTGGGTTCGAATCCCGTCAGGGGCTCGACGTTGTGTCCTTGTGAAAGGGACTTTGCACAAATTTTCCTCACTTCACCCAGGTGGAAATGAGTACCCTGCTATAGACAGTGAAAGATCTTGTCAGTTTGATAGTGTTTGAGCACGTGAAATTCGCAGCTTGCACTGTATGCTTCCGTGGAAGCCGAGAATGTTTCCGAGTGTTCTCAGAGGGTCTGCTGGGGTAATAATAGTTGTAAAGCGCATAGAGCAAGCTCATGAGCATGGATATGCGCTATATAAATGCAATTATTATTTATTAAATGGTGACTTTCTTTAGACTAGATACAATACTTGTGCGGCCTGACTTTTTGTGCCTTCGAAGAAGAGATGAAATACGAGATTCTTAAAATTGCGTCAACCAGGAATGACTTAAGAAAAATTCGCACCCATCAACACAATTTAGATTATTTAGGAGGCAGGATTCACCCAGCCTGTTAGCTCCATCCCGGACTGAGAAGGAAACATCTCAGCGAAAAGAATTATATACTCGCTAAAAATTTTCCCGATCCGTGAATCGAACTCTGGTCCCTTGCGTACAAGTACAAGGCACCTAACCGTTATACTGTAGATGGTAGGAACCTTAACTTGAAGCGATAGCTTGAAATGATCTGAGTAAGACGTAAAAAAAATAAAAATTGCAAATACTGATTGAGATTGTCCATATGTCTGTTGACGTCACTGCTCTGGTGTTGAGGTCCCTAATGTTGGAGCAACCACCTAAGTAACGCCGAAAGAAAACAGTTAGCTTTCGAGAACATGTACGGTATATATATATATATATATATATATATATATATATATATATATATATCAGTCATGTTAAAAAAAATGTCATGTTTTAGTTTTAGATTCTCATTTTTTCGAAAAATAAATTTTTATGAAAGTTTTGAAATAATATTGATTAAATGAATCAACCATCTATAGACATAAATGTGAAATTTCTGAGCTTAATTCCGTCAAATTAGAGCGTCACGGCAACTTTTGCGCTAGCGTTCTTAGGAAAAAGTTATCTCCTGTTACCAACAGAAATCATAGAGTTGTGTTACTGGAATAGGTTTTGGGGGTGGGGGTAAATGCACTATATGTTGGTGAAACTAGGTCTATTCATCGGGCAAATAATAAAAAAGCACTTCAGTTAAACAACCCATGCAAAATTATTTCGGATTTAAGTGCCAAATTTAAAAATCAGTGAAAATTTTAGAGTTTCAGTTGGTGATTCTCACTCTAAGATCAAACACATTGTCATCATATGAATTTCTATTCCTTTTAGCAGTAATGTGAAGCTAATCCCACATTTACTTTTTAAAAACAAAGTTCAAGATTTTTTTAATGAACGCAAAGAGAGGCGGTAACAGGAGGGAACATAAAAATAAAAGACTGTTATCAGGTTTTAACAACTAAACTCATCAAGAATGAAACACCTATACAGTTGAAAGTTACGGAGATTATATATACATATTTATATAATATATATATTTTTTTTGACTTATGCATATTTTTTTTCTTTCCAAATACACAACAGATTACTGATACTGATATCTTCTGATTTCAATTTTTCTGTACATAAAACATGAAAATTCTTCTAGAAAAAGGGTAAAACACGTCGCAAATGGTGTTACGGTAACTTGCATAATTTTTGCATAATATTAATTTTGTTTTTTTCTTGCATAATTTGGTCATCTCAATTTGCATAATTCTATGGGGACAGAATGACAACCCCCCCTCTCTCTCTCTCTGTCCCTGTCCCTCTCCCCGCCCCCCCTTTCTATCTGTTTCTCTCTCTGTGTCCCTCTCCCTCTTTCTCTCCCCCCTTCTCTCTCTCTCCCTCTTTCTCCTCTCTCTCTCTCTCTCTTTCTC